TAAAAAACCAAAACTTTTCCATTTTTAAGGCTCTGTACTTGAATTTCCAGGTGCCTGACTACTTTCTTTTTCAGCAGTTGACTTTCACATAAAATTATTTTACTTGGTTTCTGGAGAAACATAAAAGGCATGTTCTGTATCAAGATAAATCTAAGAAAAGAAGTAATGTTCCATATAAATACCAATTTTTTGTTGAGGGGAAGATGAGAAGGAAGAGAATGATAAGCTGGTAGTTGTTCTCTATTGGTGAATAAGTTTAAGACATGCATTGTAAAACATAAAGAGTAATTCACCTGAGGAATAAGGGGCTTCAAGAATTGTAAATACAATTGATGGTCTATTAAGGAAGAAAACCATTTGCTATTTGTATTAGGACAAGAAAAAAAAAGGTGAAAGAAAAACTAAAGTGGAATACTAGGTTGAAGTAAAAACCAATTAAGAGGAAGAAGGTTTATATAGGTTTAACACCCAAATAATAAACTATTGAGGAGTAGCTTTGGTTTTTAAATTAAACATGATATTTTATTCATTGGATTTGTTTAATGTAACTTGGTTGCTTCCCGATAGGATTTTAAATCAGAGCTCCCAGAAAAGTCTGGAATTCTTAATGTTCTCATCTGACCTTTGGTCATATTAGGACTCCCATGAATTTTTCTGCCCTTCTTTAGTGCCTAGGGAGCATTCATACCTATTCAGTCACTCACACAGGTTTTCAACTTTAATATATATTTTTAATTATAGGCAGGTGTACTGAAGGGAGGCAGAAATGTAGACGACTGACACAATAAAAAGAAAACTGAATTGGGAGGAAACAAACTTGGATTTTTTAATTTTGGGATGCTCTTTCACTTTTACCATCTATAAAATGGTAACTTCCCTTTCTAGGATGTTCTGAGGTTTACAAGTCCTTTTCCCTTTATCTTTACTTACAACATTCCAGTATAATTTTTTAAGCTCTTCAGGGTCAGAGACTGTTTTGTTCTTGCCTTTATATACTTAGTCCCTAGCACATAGCTCAATGCTTTGTACATACTATACGTTTAGCAGTTTTTAAAAATTGAATAATTCTGGGAGGCAATTAGGACAGGTTTTATTGACCCATTTTATAGATAGGGAAAATGAAAACAAGATTCATTTATTCCATAGTCACACAGCTTGTAGGTGTTGTAGGTAGAATATGCATATCTCCTGACTCTAAGGCCATTATTCTTTCTGCTAAACCAAACTGACTTCTATCATGCCCTATGCCCTTCTCCTCACTATTCCCCTGCCACATTAGAAATGATGCCTTCCTCTTCCAGTCACTTACCTTCCTTTCATGTTTGATTGTATTCTGTCTTATATCGGTCTTTTTTTTTTTTAAATCCCCGGTATCGGGCTGTAAGTCTTTTGAGGGCATGAACTGTAGTTTGGACTATGAGACCCCTTGAAATACCAATTTTATGATGTACTTATTTATTTTAAGGTGTGGCCTATATGTGGGTATTGTTTTTTATAGGCTCATAGATTTAGAACTGGAAGAGACCTTAGAGGTTATCTTGTTAAATTTTCTCATTTTACGGATAGTAGGTTAGTGGCCCAACATTACAGGTATAGTTCCATATTGTTTTCCTTTTGGTAAAATAGCAGTTCCTGCTTAAATTTGCTTTTGCTTTCACTTGGATGATGGATTACTAGTTCTTTTACTATATAGGTAATTCCTTTCCTGAGAAGAGCAGGATGCCACATGTGATTAGGCACCTAATATTTTAAAATATTGGTGAAACATAATGAAGTAGTTTGTGATGGACTGACTTTCATTCACTGGAAGGATGAATAATGCCTAACTTGTACACTGAAGTCTCCAAGCCAGTTTTTGACTATCAATATTCCAAGATTCTGAAAGATCCAATTAACAAAGTATTCTATTTTTATTACTTTTTTGTGGTGTAATAAGTTTAATAACAAAATGTTACAAATACTAAAGTCTCTACTAAATTCATTCTCTAATTATCATTACGGCCTGCAGGTGACTCTGGGATCGAGTGTGTGATGTCAGCTCAGTTTAAGGTCTGTCTGCTATCAAGCTGGAAAAGATTTTGTAGGCTCAGTGACAGATTTTGTATCTGTTGTCAGAGAATCTCCTGTGTTTGGAAAGGGCTCTTGCCATATTGGCCATAGCAGTTCTTGAAGAACCTTTACAAAATTGTAGAGATGAGATTTATCATTGCTTGACCACGGGCAGGTGGCGGTCTGTTGGAGGGAATCACACTGGTCTTTGAAACCAAAGGGTCCTCGAAATGCGGAAGTTTGATGTTGGTGAATCGAGGTATTCACATGTGTAATACACATTCTGTGCTTGGTAAAAATGAAATACTAAAATGGAATAAAATATTGTACTTTGTTTAGGAAAGACAGAAAATTATTCTTGGGTAATTGTTCTATGATTTTTGTTTAACACATGGAAATTTGATGGCTTCTTCTCATTAGTTAAGTCAGTGGGGCTCATATCATCTGTACCATAAACAATTTAAGGTATAAGTGGTTGTTTAAAACAACAGCAGTTGCAGCCTGTTTCCATCTTTTGACCTGTTTCCTGATCATAATTGTGATTCAGTTCCAACCTAAGCTTTCATTTGCCAGCCTATGGTCCAGTTTTGACTCTTAAAATCATCTGTTAGAGGGGGAAAGGGTAGTAGAAGCTATTTATTTCAACCCTTTTGTTTTACACTTGAGGACACAGAGAGGCAAGTGATTTGCCTGTGGTCACACAGCTAGTTGATAGCAGAGATCTGACCAGAGCGTTGGTCTTAGGACTCCCAGTTAAGTACTTTTCCCATTAGACACTGCTGCCTACTTTTTCTTGTATTCTTACTTTCACTTCTGAGAAGGGATAATTTAGTTAAAGTCAACAGTGATATAACCAAGAAGTGAGATGATGAGCACATTCTGCCAGTTATCAGTGATCACTCTGCATCCACAACAGCTGGCTCATCCAGGTCCTGAGTAAGGAGGTCAGAAGTCTTAGGCAAATAGGGGAAATATGAGCATATATTTAGAGCCAACTTGGCTTTATGACCACTAACAGATGAGAAAACATTATAATAGATTGGGAATGACCTTTGGAAGATACACATTCAGAGGGTGCCTGCCATAAAAAAATGGCTTTTCTTAGAGTAGAAGATATCCTTAAGCAACTTGCAATGTGGCGCCTTCTTTTACAAAGCTCACAGAATTGTATAGATCTTACTTCATTCATCTTGATAATATGATTATTATCATATAATCAATGTTATCAGTATATCATATAATCATATCAATAAATAATTCATGGAGGATGATGATAATAGTCATAGCTTATGCATGCTTTATAGTTATTTTGATTTCCAAAGAGTTGACTTAAAAACAAGGTTTTAGATAAACTTTTTTTGCAGCTCTTGCCTTTCTAAAGGTTTGAGCTGTAGAGATGATCCTTGTGAAAAACAAAATATTATTGTTGGACCATCTTACTCCCTTTTCTCCATTCACATGACCACTTTTGTTTAGCCCTTGTCACTCCTCACCTGGACTATTCCAATTAACTCTTAATTAGTGTCCTTCCCTCCATCTTTTCCCCTCTCCATTCCATTCTTCACATTGCTGCCAGATTGATATTTCTGAAGTACGGGTCTGACCATGTTACTCCCTTGCTTAAAAAGTGGCAGTAGCTTATTATTACTTGCTGGATAAAGGACACACTTACTTGCTTAGTGTTTAAAACTCTTTACAGTCTGGTTCTGACCTGTCCTTTCAGAATGTTTTCACAGGTTTCCCTCTTCTGTGATCTCTGTTTTATGCAAACTGGCCCATGTGCTCTCCCCACTCTCTGACATTCCATCTTGATGCCTTGGTACATCCTGCTCTTCATTGTAGGAATGTTCTCTCCATTTTCACCTTTTGGAATCTCTCCCTCTATTAAAAAGACCTTTCTTGACTCTTCCGTTTGGTAATATTTCCTTCCACTGTTAAATTATTCTGTATTTACTTTTAAAATAGTTTTTTATTTACTTATAAGTCAACTGCATGTTATTTTCCCCCAATAGAATATGAACTCCTTGAGGGCAGGGATAATTTTCATCTCTCGATTTGTATTTCCCAGCTCTAAGCACAGTGCCTTGCACATAGCTGGTACTTAATATAAATGCTTGATGAATTAAATTGAGCACAAGAGTTGACAAAAGGGGAACTCCACTGGAACTTGCATTCACTCCTTCCTCTTCCATGGTAGAATGAAGAATGAGGTGGATTTAGTTACTTAATATTTGAGGGATCTCATTATAAGGTGGTTTTGCTGATAAGATGATCCTATTGGAATAGTACCAGATGGAAGCATATGTACATGTGTATATGGATGAAGAATTGGTATTGAACATAGAAGTGTGGCATGGTAACTGTGGACACCATAATATTTTTATCTCCTCAGCCTTTGAAATTTAAAAATCATTATTAATTAGAAATATATGGAATTCACTTGAATTTTTTAAAGTTCATTTAATTTTTTCACTTTTTGGGTCACAATCATATTTTTGAAGCACCTTTCCAGTAAGAAACTTACTGGACATTCTCATGACATTCAGGTTTTTTTTTCTGATTAGAGAATGTACAAGTTCACTTATGTTGAAATATTTTTTGTTAGGAAATGTCCTGAGAAATGATTTAGCCTAAACTGCTTAGGAAATTAGGCCCTAAAAGGTTGCCCAGGGTCATAGAGCTTGTCTGTAGTGGACATTGAACCAGAGCTCAAGCCTTCTCAGCCCTAGCCCAGTTTCCCTACTGTGGGGAAGATTAGCCTGACTTTCTTTTGTTATTATTCGGATTTGTAGCACTGATAAAATCTATTGTCATTCTCTATCTTTGATCTTCATTAATCACTGACATAATTAAGGATGAGTAAATGGTCTAGCCTAGCAGTTAGAGTAACTTTGTTTTGTCATTTACCCCTAACAAGAAAATTCTTTTGTGTTAATGCTTTGTTTGCTCAGTGAGGATTTGGGAGAATTTATGGAGATGAAAGGCGCCAGCAGTCCTGGGATTCTTGTGTTGACCACAGGCCTCAGCAAACCTTTTATGCGCTTGGATAAATACCCTACTTTACTCAAAGAACTTGAAAGACATATGGAGGTACCATTTTTTTTTTCCACTCTGTATTCATTTCTTCAGTACCTATTGTATGTATGATTACTGTGTATGTTTTTGGGACTCAGATGAATCAGTATAACAAACTGAAGGTGCCGTGTGGGCCAGAGATGGGTGAGACACAGACTAGGTGATCTGTGGCCCTTGACCTTAAGGAGCTTGCTAGATACACATTATAGCAAAGACTCACTGCACGTTTCAGAACCCATTAAAAGTTTCTCTAGGACTCAAGATGTTTTTTTTTTAAAATATATATTTTGTTTTTTTATATTTTGAGACATTTAACACCCCCCTCACCTCTCTTTACCTCTCCCCATTCAGATTTGGAAGGGATTTCACAGGCTGCCTAGTCTTATCTCATATTTCCTCCATGTTATATCTGACAAGTGATCATCCAACTTTTGTTTAAAGATCTCCTTTGAGGGGTAACTCACTACATTCCTACACAGTGCAAATCACTTTTAGATAGCTCTATTTCATTCATGTGTGTGTGTGTGTGTGTATTTTATACATATACATATATTTATTTGTATGTAATTTCAAGCCTGAATTTGCCACTTTGTAATTTCTGCTCATTGCTTATAGTTCAGTCCTATGGGATCAAGCAAAACTAAGTCCAATCCCACACAGTGGCCCTTAAAATACCTTAATTTTTTATCATATGCCTCCTAAGTATTTTTTGTTTGTTTGTTTGTTTGTTTGTTTGTTTGTTTTTTCCAGGCTAAACACCTTTTAACTTTAGCTGATCCTCACAAGGCATGAGCTCTAGGCCCATCCTGGTTACCTTCCTCTGCAGGCTTATCAATGTCCTTTCTAAAATGTGGTACCCAGAATAAAACACAAATTCAGGATGTGATCTGACCAGGGTAGAGTACAGTAGGCCATTTACTTCCCTATTCCCAGACATTTTGCCTTTCTTAATGCAGCCTAAAATGACATTAACTTCTCGGCTCTCATACCACATTTTTGACATCTTTAACTTCCAATCCACTACAACTCCTAGATCTTTCCCAGATGAATTGCTCTTCTACCATATTCCTTACAATGTAAAGAATGATGGTTCTGCCATGAGAATCTGGATTCAAATCCTTACTTTACTACTTAATACCTCTGTGACCTTGAGCAAGAGCTCAACCTCTTCATCTATGAAACGAGGCTGTTAGACCAAGTGGCCCCCCAAGTCCCTTCAGCTGTATATCTTTGACTAGATTGAAAACAAAACAACCCTCAATTCCTTCTAAAACTTTAACATTTTGGGACTTAAACAACTTTTACCATTTTCAGATACCATCATTTCTAAAGTCGAAACTACTTTTTATTTGGAAATAATGGCAATTAACCTTAAACTCCAAAGTAATTTTTAAAAGAGCTTCTGTGGTTGGGCAGCAGAAGTAAAAAAGACATTAAATAACAGGTGGACATGATGGATTAATTATTTTTCTTATTGGCATGTTATTGAAAGCTTAACAAAAAGGGGCAAAAACTTAAATTTTCACATTTCTACTTCAAGTGAGTTATGTTTAGTTAGTTGTGAGTCCTTTGGTTTCATATTAGAGGCCTGAGATCCCTTGGTCATTTTTCTTCCTGGTCAGAAAATGGACTACTACATTCATTGTAGTAGTGAGATAAAAGGAGCATGTTGAAAGCAGAATTACATTTTTTAGGTTCTGGCAGTTCTATAGCAATAATACGTTATTAAGTAGTGTTTTTTGTTGCTAAGATTGACAGTAATATTGTTTTGTTTTGTTACACTAAGGATTATCATCCAGATCGGCAAGATATTCAAAAGTCTATGACAGCCTTCAAAAATCTTTCTGTAAGTGAATTATTTTTAAATTTTTATTTATTTTATTCTGAACTTAAAAAATTAAAAAGCATTTCCATAACATAGAATAGAAAAAAGGATAATTGTACATGAAACTATAAATCTGTTATATACAACTTGCTGTTCCTTTTAAATATATAATAAAATGATCATGTAACTTTTTTTTTAACCTTTTTTTGTCTCCCTCAGATGGCTACCATGAGGCTCGTGTGTGTGTGTGTGTGTGTGTGTGTGTATGTAAAACCAGATAGATATTGAGAAAAAAAATTTATATATATATTCTCAGGTAAAGGTCTCATATTTCAATTATACACAGAACTGTCAAATCCATAAGAATGTAAGTCATTCTCCAGTTGATAAATGATCAAAGGATATGAACAGGCAGTTTTCTGAGTAAGAAATGAAAACAATTTATAGTCATGTGAAAAAATGCTCTAAATCATTATTGATTAGAGAAATACAAATTAAAACAACCTTGAGATATCATTTATACCTATCAGATTGGCCAAAATGATTGAAAGGGAAAACAACAAATGTTGGAGGGAATGTGGAAAAGCTGGGACACTAATTCACTGTTGGTGGAACTGTGAATTGACCCAGACATTTTGGAGAGCAGTCTGGAATTATGCCCAAAGCGTTATTAAACTGCTTATAGCCTTTGACCCAGCAATACCACTAGGTCTGTTTTTCAAGATGATTACGGAAAAAAGAAAAAAACCTATATGTCTTCAATTATTTATAGCAACTTTCCTGTAGTGGCAAAGAGCTGGAAATTGCAGGGATGCACGTCATTTGGGGTATGACTGAACAAGTTGTGGTATGTGATTGTGATGGAATACTACTGTGGTATAAGAAATAATGAACTCAGTGATTTTAGAAAAGCGTGGATAGACTTGCACAAAATAATGAAGAGCGAAATAAGCAGAACCAAGAGAACCTTGTATATAATAACAATAATATTCTTTTAAGAACAACTTTGAGTGAATAAGTAATTTTAACAATTATAAATCCCCAAATTAACTACAGAGGACATATGAAGGAAGATACCATCCGTAAGTAAAATAAAAGATATGTAATCTACATATCCCTTATTTATGTGGGGTAAACATTCAATGAGCTAATAATGGGAAATTTTAGAATTATTTGGTGAGTTAGATGGATATTAGGTGAAAATTTGTTATGTTTTTGGTAAGATGTCTACCAGACAATGACTTAAAATATATTTTTCTGTCACATAGTAGCTAGTCTTTGTAAGTCATGGCCAAAAAGTTAATTTCTTACTAGCTAGTATTCTGTTATTAAGCTTCTTTCTGCGAACTTATGTTAGGCTTGGATGATAGCTGTTTAGCCCACTTGCTAGGCCCATGTTCAAAGCTTTTTCAGCTTCGTGTAGGACCTGCCAGACCTTGTACTTCATTGGAATTGCCTTCAGGAACCCAGCATTACCTCCATGCTATAATGAGGCAACCAAATGGCATATTATTATAGGATTACTTTCTGGTATGAATCCAAAATATAGTCGATTTAAGCCAATTATTTTGAATCTATGTTTTTTATTTATTGAAATTGGCAAGATGTGTATTTTTCTTATAATCTTATTCAGTCTGCCTACCAGTATACACAAAAAATAGTAATTTTTATTTATTTAGGATATTATTTCATATATAAAATCACAACAAGCATATACTGAGCACCTGATATGCTAAGCATCGGGGAATCACGGAAAAATGAAAAAGAGAAAAAGTCCCCTCATTTTATGGAATGTAGGTTCAGCTAACATACAAATTAATGAAATGGTTTGGTAACATGGCTGATGTCAAGTACGTGGATAATGTGCTTGAGTGTAGTGTTGGGGTGACTCTTGATTCCTTGAGCCCTTAAATACAGCTTTGTTTTCACTGGGAATAGGAGGTAAACAGCCATTGCATTCCCAAGGCAAACGATATATTGATATCCTGTGATATTCTGACCTTTATGCTGCACTCAGCATTGTGGGCATATACATACAATTCATACACACACACGTGTGCACACACATACACACATACGTTCATACATGCACACATTACAATATAACATACATGTACGCACATACACATACATATATGCATGCCTTGCATACGCATGCATTTCATTTTATGTATTTATATATACGTACATACACATACACACACGCCTTAGATTTATTTTGCAGTGAGTATCTGCTCCAGAGTAGTATTCCTGTTTCTCATTAATTCTTAACTTCTTTATTAACAAATATGTTTCCCTTTTCCTCTAGGCACAGTGTCAAGAAGTACGAAAAAGGAAAGAACTTGAACTCCAGATTCTGACAGAAGCAATTCGTTGCTGGGAGGGAGATGACATTAAAACCTTGGGCAATGTCATATACATGTCCCAGGTCATGATTCAGTGTGCAGGAAATGAGGTGAGGCCGCTAAGGGGTTCACAAAGTATTACTATTAGGTCTTTTGAAAGATGAATTATGAAGATAGTGGCAGTTACATAAAAAGACCATCTGGGTGGAAAGTTTCTCAATTTAATAATATGGTTTGATTTTTTTTTTGGTCATTCAGAACTATTTAACCTAAATTATTAAAATGTCCATTTTCATAGCAAACTTGTACTCAGTTGAATAGTGTTTATATTTTATATTAATGTGTTTCTGAATGCTTGATTAATAACCATGAATAGTGATCAGTTTTTCAAAGGCAGTTAATTTTAGATGCTCATGAATGTGATATTTTTTGCTTTGAAATGCCAGGTAAGGAAAAGTAGTCATTGACAACCCTCAGTCCCCTGTTTCTGTCTTATACTTGATGGTTTCTTTAACAAAGAAGTAGGGGATATGATATATTAAAAGCTTATGTATAAATGAAAAGTTATGGATGCTAACTTTGAGGAAAGTTTACTTCATATCCACTAAATAAATCCAACTCTGGTCAGTTATGATGTCATTTATTAGTGACAAATTCCCATTCAGGGGGAGTGGTGTCAGATCAAATTCACTCTGCCATCTAGTCTCACCAGGAGAGCTGGCATTATAGTTGTTCAAAGCTCATTAAAGTGTGATACCAGGTGATACCCTTAGAGCTACCATATTGTATTCTGTATTAAGGTATCTTAAGTTAATGCTTAAGTATTTAAGTTGTAATGAGGACAATATACTTGGAAAAGGAGTTTAGGTTCCACTCTGACTATTTTGTCTCAAAATACAATGTAATTCATTTCAGCTGTTTGGAAGTAGTTCCAGGGACAAGTATCAGGAAAGTCAGGGGACATCAGAGATAGATTCATACTTTCTGATGCCTCCTTGTTTATACTGCTTTTTGAGAGATTACGATACAAAAATTAGAAATGAGCAGTGGAGGGAAAAACCATTTGTTCTAAATAACAATAATAATTAAAATAGTAAACATTTATATAACACTTAATTTTGCAACTACTTTATGAAGATTACTTCATTTGAGTTTTGCCATAACCCCATGAACTAGGGATTATAGGTTGTATCATCCTTAATTTGCAGATTAAGAAATTGAGACTCCTGAAGGTTTAGTGACTTGGCCAGGTATAAAGAGCTAGTAAGTATCAAAGACAAGATTTGAATTCAGTTTTTTCTCGAGTTTAGCTCACTATTGACCAAAGCATGCTACTTCTCTAAAGATACCTGTTCTCAAGACTGTCACTTTGGGTAATCTATACTCTTGTAACATTTTTGACAGTGTATATGTGTGTATATTCTTATAAGCATGACTATTTACAGTAGTGAAGTAGAAAGAATGCTGGATTTAAAAATGAGAGCTTGGGTTGAATTCCAGCTCAGCCCCATACCACCTGTGTGACTTTGGGCAAGTCTCTTTTACCTCTCTGGACTTCAGTTTCCTTCTGTGGAAGAGATCAGATTAAATAACCTCTTAGATCCCTTCCAGTTCTATAAGTTTGGTCCTATGGATACATCTATATAGAAAAAGTATACTAGCATTGGATAATCTTATTTTCTAAACCAGAAGTGTCAAACATGTGCCTGTAAAACTCTGGAATGCTGCCCAAACCAGATTAAAATATAATTGAGAAACATTTAGCAAAATAAGTAAAAATACAGTACAACGTAGGTAATGTTAATTTGTCATGTTCTGAATCAATTATCATCCTATCAATTATCTATTTTAGTCTGACACCTTTGTTCTAAACTATTCAGAAGTCAGAGTCTGTAGTAGTGACTTATAAAATTGACCCCTTTTTTCAATGGTATATCTAACTGGATTACTGTTTATGCCACAGTTCTTACAATATAAAGTTTTCCCTTTTTTAGTTATTCCATATTTTGGTTAAGAAAATATTGTCTCAATTTTGAATGTTTATGCCACAGTTCTTACAATATAAAGTTTTCCCTTTTGTAGTTATTCCATATTTTGGTTAAGAAAATATTGTCTCAATTTTGAATGCTAGCACGATCACCTCTCAAATGTGCCTTCACTTATACACTTAGGGATTATCTCTAATAATTCCTTAAATGCTTCAAGCTTTCTGTAAGGAAATTGAGGGTGAAGATAGTGGAGTTTGCTTGCTGTTTCTTTGCTCATATTATTTCCTTGTTTTCCTCTTTTCCTTGTGTGTAAACTAGCTCAGCAGGAACTGCAAGGGAAGATTTGATAATTCTATTTATAGTCGCTCAGCTACTGGACAAGGCATTTAAAATAATAGATTTAAAATAAGAGTATATATTCTCCCTCTGCAAAACAAATGAACAGAAACAAATGAAACCGCACACACTCCAGGGATGTGGAAGAGAGCTAACCGATAATCTTATGGACAGAAAGGAGAGTTAAACTGAGGTCAATACTTATCAGTCATCCTGAGAATGATGCTGTCTAGAACCTATTTAAATGTGACCTCTTGCAACGTGCAAAAATGCATTCAAAAGACATTAGCGTTGTCTGTTCTTTTAGATAATTTGGACCAATGTTGTTCTTATGTTTTAATTGACATTTACAATACATATACATAATTGCTTTGACATGTATTTGGTTTGCGAATTAGCTTAGATACTCTGTGACATCCTTGTCCAATGATAATTTAACCTAGTCATATAAATACACAGTGGAATCCACATTCTTCACTGGTTAATTAATCTAGCTAATCTCTATTTTGAAGTGTGTTCCACTTGTTGATTAAGTAATTACCACAGTTAAAACATTTATTTTGATGATGAATTAATGACCTACTTTCAAAATTAAATACCTTGGGGTAGTAATCTTTTTTGTACATGTTAATATTTGGAAAATTACAAAAATTAAGTTGTTATATGTATAATATATTTTCCTTTTCATTAATAAACTAGAAAGATATGTCAATTATCAGTGGTCAGTGACATTTTAATGCTTTGATAATTAATGGTATTTACTGTTTCATGCTGAATTACAGGCTCCCTTTCGTGTTACAGCTTTTTAAAAAATTTCATACTTTTTTTTTTTCCTGTTCAGTGACTAGTGGAAATAATACAAGGGTTTCAGATAGCACCTTATGTCATGATCTTGGTGTTTGTACTTCCATGAGTTTTTTGAATTTGTCTTTCATCACAGGCTTTGACTTCTGTAAAACTACTGAAGCAAAGTTGTTAAAAGTAACATGGAAGGTTTTCAAGCTTATCAAACAAATTAGTTCAGCTTAATGAAGCACACGAAAATAGAATTATAGAGCTTTAAGATAATATAGTATCTTTTTAGTCCACATTGGAAGTGTACTAGGACTAACTTGTAATTCAGTTTTTTAAAAAATAATATTTTGTTCTAAATATATGGCCCTTATCCATCTTTAGAATCTACCAGGGAGCTGGATCCTGTCCTCTCACTCAAGAAAACAGAACTTAAGTTTCTTGAGATTTATGATTATGTTAAATCTAAAGCTGAAAACAATGATAGAATATCCTTTTAAAGTACCATATCAGATACATATGAACCAAATGTAATTTAAATCATGTACGTTATATTTTTATAATATTAAGAAATTTAAACATGTATTCCTTAACTATGTAGATTAAAGTGCTCTTTTAATCAAATACAAAACTGCAGTGCTATGTAGTGCAGTAAATAGACACTGGGCTGGGAATCGGGAAGACTTCTTTCTAAGAGTTCAAATCCAGCGTCACTTGCTAGCTCTGTGACCTTGGGCATGTCACTTAACCTTGTTTGCCTGAGTTCCTCATCTGTAAAATGAGAAGGAAATGGCAAACCATTCCAATATCTTTACCAAGAAAACCCTGAAATAAGGTCATGAAGAGTCAGACATGACTTAAATGACTCACCAGCAAAAAAAGCAGAATCTACTATCTTTACTTTGGTCTCATTTAACTTAGCTAAAGTTAATGGGCACATTTTGGTGAAAAATATCATAGCATATGATTTTTGATGATGCTTGGAGTAAGAATAAATGTTTTACAATTTACAGCATGTATATGTGTATATTTTGTAATTATTTGTGTTTGTTTTTTAAGGAAAAGAATGAAAGATATCTTCTACTCTTCCCTAACATTTTGTTAATGTTGTCTGCCAGCCCTAGGATGAGCGGTTTTATCTATCAGGTAAAGCAGATGTTTTGAACAAAGTCTACTGTTAATTGGAACCTTGCCAGTTGTCTTCAGACTTTTAAAAAATTCTGTGCAGTATGTATGCATATGGTAGCTAAGCATGACTTCTGTGTAGTGTGCAAATGTAGATGCACGTTAAGTTCCTCTTTTTGTACTGAGATGTACTCTTATTTTCAAGTGTTTCTGTATATACACGTGAAGTGTTAATTATAAGCAGAGTGAGAGGCCACCTAGATGGTGCAGTACATGTAGCATCAGCCCTGGAGTCAGGAGGACTGAAGTTCAAATCTGGCCTCAGACATATAACACTTACTAGCTATGTGACTCTGGGCAAGTCACTTAACCCCAATAGCCTCGCCCACCCCCCCCCCCCCCAAAAAAAAAGAAATAAGTAGAATGAAATAGATAAAAATTGTGAACTTCAAAAAGTGTTGCACATTGATTCCAAACCAAAACAAATATTTGGCTAGCCTGGTGAATGACAGTTTTTGTTTTTGTTTTTGTTTTCCAATTTATAACCTTTTCATTGATCTCCTTGAATTGATGGAGAATTAAGGGAGAAAATGGTGAATTGGCAGAAGGTAGTAGCTGCATTAATTTTCAGTCTGTTTATAGGGTATCTTTTTTCTCTTTTGTTCTCATATAGATGCTTCTTCTTAGATTCTTTCCTCTGTTTCTCTCCAGTTAAAGATGCTAGTAACTTTTCCTTTCATTGTTTAGGACCAGGCCAGTAACCAGGCAGACCTTCAATAATAGTTGCCTGATTTGGCTTTTCTTGATGTTCATTTCATTAAAATATAATATGATTTTCCATTATTCACAATTTGAAATTGTGTTGTTTTTACTGTATAATGACAACTCCTTTTTGAAAAAATACAAGTAACCTATATATCTCAGTTTTTTTATTTAGGAGTCAGTTGTTCCTCCTAAAAGTGAAAATCAACAGCTTTGTAAATATGTTATCATTTTGAAATATTTCAGTTCCCCAAACATTTATGAAACTGCTATCTACCAAGTGGGCCAGTTTTGCTGGATAGCAGGGTGTGCAGGGTGTTGTCTGTGTCTGGAATATGCTCCCCTTACCTTTGCCTCATAAAGTGCCTAACTTCCTTAAGAATTCATCTCCAGTGCCCCTTTTTTATGGAAGGTATTTTCTGTTTTCCTTATGTGCTAGTATCTCCCTTTCTCCCACGTTTATTTTTCCTCTCCTTTTTATACTCAAGAAGCTGTATGATGTAACAAGTAGAGGCTTGGACTGGGATTCAGGAAGATCTAGGTTCAAAACATAATTCAGACATTTATTAACTTTGTGACCATGGGCAAGTCACTTAATCTCACTGAGCCTGAGTTTCCTTATCTATAAATTGAGAGGGTCATACTTGATGGTCTTTCAGATCCCTTCTAGCTCTAAATCTATGATCCTATAAGCTTTAAAAAAAAAACAAACTGCAGGGCAGCTGGGTGGCACAGTGGGATAGAGCTCTTGCAGTGGGATAGAGCTCTGGCCTTGGAGTCAGGAGGACCTGAGTTCAAATCTGGCCTCGGACACTTGACACTTAATAGTTGTCTGTCCTGGGCAAGTCACTTAACCTTGATTGCCTCACCAAAAAGCAAAACAAACAAACAAAACAACTGGTTTGCTTTCTTTCTTCCTTTTTCTTTTTTTCCTCTGCTTGGTAGTATTTTATTTTCTTCAAATTACATGTAAAGATAGTTTTCAACATTCTCTTTTATAAGATTTTGAGTTCCAAATTTTTCTTCCTCCCTAAGACAGCAAGCAATCTGATATAGGTTATACATGTACAATCATATTAATCGTATTTCTGTATTAGTCATATGGTGAGAAAAGAATCACAACAAAAAGGAAAAACCATGAGAAAGAGAAAACAAAACAAAACAAAAACCCCAAAGTGAAAATATTTTGCTTTGACCTGCATTTAAACTCCCTGTTTCTTTTTCTGGATGTGGGTAGCATTTGCCATCATGTCTTGGATCATTGTATTGCTGAGATCCTATTATCTTCTGATTATTGAAGCCAGAAAGACTTGGGTTCTAATTCCACTTCTGGGACTGACTGGCTATATGACCCCTGGGCAAATCACTTAGCTCTTTAGTTTTCTGAAGTAACTCACTAAAACTATAAGTTGCAAAGAAGATACAAGCCTCTACTGTTAGAAGGAATTTCTTTACCTGAGCTTCCCCTTACCAAGAGAATCAGAGGTCCACTTTTTTTGTGGGTGGAGAGGGGGTTTTTTGGTGAGGTAATTAAGGTTAAGCGACTTGCCTAGAGTCACACAGTTAATAAGTGACAGGTGTCCGAGGCCAGATTTGAACTCAGATCCTCCTGACTCCAAGGCCAAAGCTCTGTCCACTGCGCCACCTAGCTGCCCCCCCCACTTCTTATATACAGAGTTTTATGTATACTTATATGTATCCATGTTGTTTCCCCCAATACAATGTGAGCTTCTTGATGGTAGGGACTTTTGTTGTTTTTCTTTGTATCCTCTGCGTAGTGCCTGGCACATAGTAGGTGTTTCCTAATTGTTAATTGATTGATTGAACATGTGACATGAAACTCTAGGGAAACAGCTGTATAATTATGTTCATTTACATGAGTTTTTACTATAGAAAGAGAGCTGGGTTTAACATCGCGCTTACTGTCATAGCAGGGGAATCATAGACTCTTAGAGTTAGAAGGGACATGTAGTCCTTCCCTAAAGACCATCACTAATACATGATCTAGCTACAGATTCGAGGTCCAGGGATTTTAATGTCTATTTGCCCCTGGATAAACATAGGTAAATATTCCTGTCTGAATTGAAGTAGAGAAACATGACTGAACAGCAAATGGATAAGCCTTTAAAAGTTAGGATGGATTTTGACTTGGCCTAAAAATATGTAATATTCACAGTTGGGAGTACTTAATTACCAATTTTTTAATCTTCTGTCGTGCTAAAAGTTCTAGTCAAAGGTTGTGTTTGGTTAAAAATGGTTCCTGTTGAATCAGCTCTCTGGTTTTTACTCCCTGCTTTGACATTAATTAGTTAGCTATATGACCTTAAGAAAATCTCTTAAACTCTATGAGCCTTAAGTTTCCCCTTCCATAAATATGTAAACAATTTCTAAAATATTCTTTAGCTCTAATTTTTTTCTGACCATTTTTAAAGATCAGTTTCTATTCAAAACTAGAACATATATGTATATGTTAATTTATGTGCCCGTAGCCATGTCTAGGTTTCAAGGGAATATAGAACATAAGGTCTTAAATATAGAGCTGGAAGGAATCTCAGAGGACACTTAGTCTAACTGTCTCCTTTTATTTAACATTTTTGTTGCCATTTTTTTATTTTTAGCATTGGACATATTCCAGCAATATGTACTCAGTTCTTTGCTTTTTTTTCCCCACACATATATTTATCCAAAATCTTTCCTTTTGTGAGAGAATGAATATTTTTCACATGTCATCATTGTTATTTCTCTTCTTCTCTCATTTTTTCCCCTAGTTCTTCAGTGGGTGGTTGAGCAATGTGTAGTACATTCTTCATTGGTTGGATCCAAAACCTAAGCTAAATGGGGATGTATCAAGTTTGCCAGATAATACCTGCCATTAAATCTCTAAGACCACTTCGATTAGCAACTACAATGCAACTTTGGCAATCCAGAATCTTTAGGAATGAGTTTTTCTGGAAAGCTAACTTTTTTATTTTTTTTTACCCCTTTAAATAGAGACAGTGTGGTATAATGGAAAGAACCCTGGATTTGGAATCAGAATTCAGTCTGGGCCTTTCAAGTAGATATCTATATATGTATGGCGTGGTTTTAACCATTGGGGATACAAAATGAAGGGCTCTGCCTTTGAGGAGCTCTCATTCTACTAAGGGAAAAGAGCATATACAAAGATAAATCATTACAAATATGTTTAAAATAAATACAAAGTAATTTTGTGGAGTGGAGGGAAACACTAACAACCGAGGGGATCAGGAAGGACCTAATGTAAGAGGTGGTACTTGAACTGTGCCTTCAGGGGAGGTGGGAATGCAAAGAGGCAGAGGTACCAAGGGACAGAATTCTAGGCATGGGGGATGACAGTTTAATAAAGGGGCAGAGCAGTGAGAGATTGAATACTGGGCTTGGACGATAGCAGATAGACCCGTTTTTCTGGAACATAGCTTATGTGAAGAGGAGTGATATGAAATCAGTGTGGGAAGATAGGCTGGAGCCAAATTATGAAAGACTTCACAAACCAAACCGAAGAGTTTGTGTTCTGTTCTCAAGGCCACAAGGTACCATGAAAGCATCTCATTCTGGGAATGACTTCATCAGACCTGTGTTTTAGGAAGATCAGTTTGCCAGTTATGGGCAGGAAGGCTGGAGAGGGGAGAGACAGAAGCAGGAGACCAATTAGGAGGCTGTCAATGGTTCAGTGAGGTGTTGGGATGTTAAACTCGGATGGTAACCAGACCAACATTGAAATCCTGGTTCTGCTACCTGTTACATTTGTGACCTTGGGCAAGGCAATTAATATCTGAACCTTGATTTCCTTATCTGTAAAATGAAGGGATTGGGGGGCAGCTAGGTGGCACGGTGGGTAGAACACTGGCCCTGGAGTCAGGAGGACCTGAGTTCAAATCCAGCCTCCAGACACATAACACTCACTAGCTGTGTGACTCCGGGCAAGTCACTTAACCCCAGTTGCCTCACCAAAAAAAAAAAAAAAAAAAGATTGAACTTAGATGATTTCTAAGGACCCTTGTAACTCTAAATTCTTTGATCTCTAAGTATGTTAGAATAATTTCACCAAAATGGTTATGTTCTTATCTTCAAACCATTGTGCTTTATACAGTCTATCCTTTCTCAGCAACTTGGTGTAATCAGGATTATTATGCCATGCTTTAGTGTACTGGCACTTCTACAGACTTTTGAGGCTTGTAGAACTGATTGATCTATTTGCGAAGGAGCCGCAGACTGTTCTTTTGAGTTTGGGTGTCTGTTTT